TTTTCTCTCTCTCTCTCTCTCTCTCTCTCTCTCTCTCTCTCTCTCTCTCTCTCTCTCTCTCTCTCTCTCTCTCTCTCTCTCTCTCACTCTCAACGTAAGAAGGATTGTCATCCTGTGGTCGCGTAGAGCCCAACATTCTTGAACGTGACCACACATGTTTATGACGTGTTATCGGGACGTGCGAGACGGGCATTCGGTCGGGTCGACTGGTCTTCAACGATCCGGGACGTGTGACAGAACCGGGAATTTTTCTCCGTAAGCAGGATTGATCGTGGTGTGTGAAGGGGCATTTGATCGGCCCGTCTGATCGGGGCGTGTGGTCAAGGCGGACACTAAATACAACGAAAGAGACGCACGCAAAAGAAGAACGAAGTGGACACATGTAAAAAAAACACGACCGACGAAGACGAAGACAGAAGAATAACACGACGGTAAAGGCATGCCAAAAAGAAGAAGACAAACAATGTCAGGAGACAAACCAGGAAAATTGCGTTTAGAGAAGCAAAAAGAACGAAACAAAGCGGACGGAAAAAGGAATGGACGAACCGATAAGACGAGGAAGGCGAATGACAATGAAGATCCGGAAAGACGAAGAAAGCGAATGGCAAAGACGAAAACATGTCAGAGAACCGGATCCCCCTGTTTCACAATGCGCTCCCAGCGTGATCTTAATGTTGGCAGATTTTGTCATTTCTTTCGCACGGATTGCTCTCTAGAATTTATACGTGCATCTCGTCAATTTGTTCATTTGTGTTATCCGTCCGTTATTTTTTTTCAACATTCTCGTTTGTCCTTTTCCTGTTCGCACATCTTTTCTTGGATTTTCTGCAGCGCACGTCACTGTGCACAATTTCCGCACACGGGGATCGAACGTTGTGTTTCCCATCTAAGTAGTCGACACGTGGCGATGTAATCTTATCTTTGTCATCACATTGCCATCCATGATCGTGATCGGGGTGTTTCAATGAACTCCAGCACATGGACGGTTGTTTTCCTTGTGTCTCGAATAGTTGAAGTCTCGTGTTTGCTCCCCAGTGTCGCTGACACGTGCGTAACCACCAGCGATCTGTCCTGTCAAATGACACGTTCATCGAACCCTATCGAACCACCCGTCAGCCAATCGTCGCGAGACAATGACCTGAACTCTTCGTTGATGTGGGCACGGGAGAGGGCAGCAACTCATGTATGTCAAGAAGGCAAGAATCGGTCCGTTCTGGCGTGTTCAGATCAACGCAAGCTAGGGTTTCATAACCAAAAGCGCACGACCCTGCACTCGTCTCGGTCCCCGGCGCGGAGGGCAGTCGAATGCGCGAGTGGACAACAAACCAACCAATCAATGAAGACGCCAATCAATACGAAAACATCCAATCGAAAACTTCGTGCATATCGTCGGTTCGGGTCAACCCGAACGGCAACAAAAGAACATTTGCAACACACGCTGTCAAGATCGGATTGATCCGGCGCTCACAGGGTCTTGTCGACGAGCCGCTGTCGGATCAACTGGAACGTTGAAAAAATACCGTGTCGACACCATCCTCTCGTGGTCGAACGCATTCGGACCACCCGTGTCAAATTCGGATGCAACTCAGAAGGATGACGACACCGCCGCCTAAAGTTCGGATGAATCCGAACCACAACTGGGGAATAACGATAGCTCAGATGTCCGGCATGGCGACAACAAACCATGTTGACCTCCCCCGTTTCAGGTTCGGATTAATCCGACGCATATCGGCGATTATCGGGTTTCTCGCCGACGTGCTTCGAATTAATCCGACCTTGAAAACGGGTGAAGGATGCCTTGGTCTGTTGTCGCCACACCAGCCTTCCGAGTTGTCGTTTTTACCACGCTGCACTTCGGATTTAGCCGAACGTCACACGGCGGTGTCGTAGTACCTGTGAGTGTGGGCCGGATGCATCCGTACTTTGCAGTGGGAGGGCCCCCGAACCAAACCATGTCGACCATTCCCAGGTATCAGGTTCGGATTAATCCGAAGCACATCGGCGATTATGGTATTTATCCCAACCTCACCGAAGCACGTCGGTGTGGCACGGATGAATCCGGCAATCGCCGACGTGCTTCGGATTAATCCGAACCTGAAACCCAGTGGTAGGACGCCATCGTCTGTTGTCTCCATACCGTCCATCCGAGTTGCCGGTGTTCCCGGGCTGTGCTTCGGATTGATCCGAACTTCACACGGCGTTGTCGTCGTCCCTGTGAGTTTAAGGCGAGTGTGGCTCGGATACATCCGAACTCTGCAGTAGGAGAGACCGGGCACCAAACTGAGAACACACATCTGCCACGGATCCACCAGCAGTCGGAGGAACCGTAATGCAGTCTTGCACACCCCACTCAGGTGGAAACACAACGTCGACGTTGCCCCTCTTCCAAGTTCGGAAGCGTCCCCAACTTCCGTGGATTCTGTTCCGAAATGGGCTTTTCTGCCTGTCGATAATGCGTCTATGCGAATAAATGGACACTGAAGGGTCCGAGCACAACAGAGTCACACATCTACCTCGGATTGATCCGAACCACAGTGCGACTTCCTTTCCCCGCAATTAGGATGGATCCGTTCACACCGCTTTGAAATCCGTATTCTTCCGAACCACCCCGCCGAAGCCGACCTTCCATTTTTCAAGTTCAGATGAATCCGGACCACAACGGGGCTACACATCTGCCTCTTCTCATCAACGTTCTTGGGACCTGGGACGCGGTCTTACTCCCCCCGACACCGACAGATATTACTAACCGAAAAGTTTGTGATCCCCGTTGAGCACACCGCGGTAAATTTCGGCCCCGGGAACACACCAAAGAGACGTTCGGATGAATCCGAAGCACACGGGTGAAGACGTCCTTCCCCTTGCGAAGTTCGGATGAATCCGAACCGAACTGGGGTAAAACACTTGCCTCCGCTCCATCAACATCACACTTTCTTCGCTGTCAGTTTCGGATCCATCCGAATCATCCATTTGTCAATCCGCTTACGTAATTCCGCCCTGCCACTGCATGCCTCTGTCGATCGCGGATGCATCCGGACCTCACGACGACATCCTTCTGCCGTGACTTTGGTTCCGGAACGATTGTGCGTCGTTCTGAATGAGTCGATATGATTGTAGATTTCTAGCATGGACAAAATTTCCTCCGGACGTCTCGCGTCTTGCCGTTGCGCCTTTGCGTCGTCAAACAGCCGGGAGAACGTTCCTCCGACGATTTGTGTTCGTGTGCGATCTTACGTTCTCTTCAGGGATGTGTGATGATGACGGGATAAATTTCCCAGACTTTCTCTCTGGTGATCTCTTTCCTTTTCCATGTTTCGGATTCATCCGAAGCTGGCAGTTCCCCTCTGTCGTGATTAGGCGAGTGGTCCATTGACGTCGAATAATCACTGCACTTCCGATTTTATGGTGCTGTTGGGTGGTGTTCTTCATAGGTGCTCTGGGTCGACGCTGATGTTAGGACGTGCTCAAGTTCTTGATCACTCCGTCTTGTGTGTGTTGAGTGCCCTGAGTGGATGTGTTCCCGCTTGCTTCGCGTGTTTCAGGGAAAGGCGACTCACGGAGAAACCCACTCCGCTGGTGGTTCCGCCCCCGCATGGGGAGGAGCCTCGAAGGACGACGTCAATACCAGTTATGGCGACGAGTCGGGGTGGTGTCGGTGGGGTGGAACAACAAGGGGCCCAAAACTTGTGGTGCGACTACAACAAGCGTGTCTGGTGTTTGGACTGGGCATGCCAGAACGCCTCCATCCTGACAACAGGACGATGCGGGTCAGTCTTGTTCGTCGCCGGTCGCAGTGATACGACGCATCTCGCAGGGTCCGTCGTCGAGTACGCCGACGAAGACGACGACATTTTAAAGTTTACCTTGCGGAAGCTTTACAGAAGTGATGGTTCCGTCGACAAACTCGCGAAAGGATGCATGGTTGCTGGGAGGAAGTTCGGGGGGTATGGAGCGGGTGCGATGGCTTTGCCCTTCTTTGTCTCTTTTTCGCCAGGCCACGACGAAGCCGTTCATATGAAAGACTTCCTCAAGGTTTGGGCGGCTTCAGTAGACCCTGGCAGTGGCATGGACGTCAACCCTGGGACATCGATACGTCGTCCTGTTGGGTTCGCGCGAGAAGACAGTTTTGGCAAAGGTGTGGGAGGGGAGGGTGGACTGTCAGGTACGCCTCCTGATCCGGCAGTGGGCATGTCGAACGACTCCGAGGACGAGCGTGCGCGTTGTCGCACTTTTTCTAGTCGGATCGCTTTAGGCGACCGGAAAGCCAACAGCCTCAACAGGCTGTCACGCAGGGTTTTGTATGTGATTGCAATAAATAAAATAAATTAAATAATGCAAGTCCCTTCATGTTGTGTGCGTCCGGCTTCAAGCGAGACCCTTCAATTGCGGTCTTTGACGGTCCCCGGTCTTAGGAATCTTTTATTATGATTCGGAACAGCAGAGAATCATGCAAATAATAATCATGAAAATTATGGAATGCTATGCATGCATCAATTTATATTAATCTGATTTTGAGAACTGTGAAAGAATCATCCACGAGAGCAAATCATCAAGCAAGAACAATGCAAGAGGCAAGACCGACTGACTCGAGAAAAGACAGAGTCAAATGAATGAGGGAAGACTGAGAACTCGTAATAGTCTTAGAGAGTACATATGGAAGAGAGCATGGCCAGCACCAATCAAGAGTCCTCACTCATCCCTCTGAACTTCACTCTCCATCTGTCACTTTGCTATCTGTCGTTTGGGCTTCTTACCATGCCTTCGTACTCTCTGAGTCTGTGGCTTCTGAACGTAAAATCACCTGAACCCTGCTAGTTCCAAACACTTCCAGCCAAGTCCCATGATGCGAAAGTCAACCATAGCACAAAATTCCTCCCATAGAGTGGGGAGATATGGCTGAGAGAAAATGCCCCTCCTGAGATGTGGGAACTCTGAGGGTTCGGTAACTGCCTCATAGTCGATCTCTGCGGGTGATAAGTATCTCTTGGCCAAGTCCACCAATCCACCCCAATAAGAGCCGTCAGTAAGATAGTAGGGGACCGGAGGTTTGGGGTAGTCAGTCAAGAGCTTAGGACCAAAGCTATAGACTAGCTTTGTTCTCCCCTGGAGTCTTTCAGCTTTCCATTGCACAAGCCCAGCTGCTGCGGCCCAAACTGCGTCAAAATGAGGGTGTGTCTCGTTCCCCTTTTTCAGAAAGATCCGCAGGTCGATGATTGTACCCTCAGCGAACTCAGTGAGGACGGCGAAGATAGGCAGATCTTCTCGCTTGAATCCATCAACTCTGACATAGTTGTAGGGGAAGCTCTCCCTGGCAGCAATCAGGTTGAGGCTGTCAAGGACCGACTGATCAACTGCGATGGGGTTGATCTCTCTCATGTGTTCGGATAAGTAGTTACTCCCTGATAGAGAGAAAAATGACCATGCTTGATTGATAGATGTCCGCCGTTTGAGTGCCTTTTGAATACCGTTCTGAATGCCGTCTCTGGTTGTTGTTTCTGATTGCTGTTTCTGACTGAAAGATTGCTATTTCTGATTGTTGTTTCTGATTGCTGTTTCTGACTGAAAGATTGCAGTTTGTAATTGTTGTTTCTGACTGAAAGATTGCTGTTTTCGATTGCTGTCTGAATGTAGTCTGATTGCTGTCTGAATGTAGTCTGATTGGTGTCTGAATGTAGTCCGATTGCTGTCTGAATGTAGTCTGATTGCGAATGTAGTCTGATTGCTGTCTGAATGTAGTCTGATTGTTGTCTGAGTATAGTCTGATTGTTGTCTGAATGCCGATTTGAATTCTGATCTGAATACCTTTTTCTGATTGCTGACCTGAATGTTGATTGTCTGCTGATTGACTGTTGCTTGATTGCTGATTGAGGACTGCCTCTCTCGCCTAGTCCCTGATCCTTTAATAATGAGCTATGAATACCCCCCGGCGGCGGATAGGCGCGGCCAGTCCGCGAAGCCCGCAGACGTGTCTGCACAGACGCGCGGATTCGCGGACACGTGGCGGCCGCAAGGGAGGGGGTTTCACAAATCTGGCGGCGCCACGTGGCGGCGCATCCCCCGCCCCACCCCCACACACAAAAAAAAAACGAAAAAGCTGAACTTTTGGTGGGGGGGGTATGGGCGAAATCCAACAAAATTCGAAAAAAAAAACGCGTTTTTTTTTGTTTTTTTTTTTTCCGTTGATTGATTGATTGATTGATTGGTGGGGG